ATTGTTTTGTCTTCTGGTTTTAGTGGCCCTTTAAGCATTATGTAGTCACCTTCCTTGTCTGTTGTGATGGTTTTTTCATTGAAATTTATTTTATCAGAGATTAATGCCGCTACTCCTGCTTTTTTTGGTTGCCATTTGCTGGTATATTTTTTTCACATCCTTTTATTTAGACTTTCTTTATCTTCCTTTTTCAGGTGTCTCTCTTGTAGACAGCATATTGATGGATTTTGAAGTTTTTTAAAATCCAGTCTGCTACTCTTCTCTTCAGTGGTGCTTTCAAACCCTTCACATTCAGCGTGATTATTGAAAGGCAGGGTTTTATTGCTATCATTTTGTTGAGTTCTTTTTGGTGTTGTTGCTAGTTACTTTGGCCCATGCTGCTTTTTATGGTACCTCTGTTAAGAAGGACATCTCTCATTATTTCCTGCAACACTGGTCTTGTTTTTACAGACTCCCTTACAGATTCCCTCTGTTTTTCTGGGAATACCTTCATATTTGATGGATAATTTTGCTGGGTACAGTATTCTTGGTTGTTTGATATGGTCCTTCCATTCTCTTCTTCCTTGCATGGTTTTTGCTGAGAAGTCGGCATTTAATCTTACCTGCTCTCCGTTATAGGTTACTCTTTGTTTCTCCCTTGCTTTCAAAATTCTTTCCTTATCTTTGGTTCTGGCAAATTTAACTATGGTAAGCCTTGGTTTTTCTTTTGCAGTCTATTCTATATGGTGTTTGCTGAGCTTCTTGAATATATATTCTCTCATTCTTCATTATGCCTGGGAAGTTTTCCTCTAGTAATTCCTCCACAACTTTTTTGGTGCCTTTGCTTGCTTCTTCCTATGCTGGGATTCGAATGATGTGCATGTTATTTCTTTTGATGGTGCCCCACATTATTCTAAGGTTTACTTCTTTTTCTTCAATTTTTGATTCTGCTTTTTTATCTAGGAGATCAGTGGTGACAGTTCTATCTTCTATTTCACTGGTTCTGTGTTCCATCTCTTCAACTCTGCTCATATGTCCCTCCATCATGTTGACAGCATCTGAAACATTGGACCTCATATTTTGGATTGTGATTTGTTTTTTCCAGTGCTGCTAATTCCTCATTTGTTTTATCTGCTTTGCTCTGCATTGGTGTTTTTTTAAAAAAAAACTCCTCCAGGTTTTTGCTTGCCATATCTTATAATTCTTCAAGTTTGTCTTTCATGCATTGAAAATATTCCATCATTGTTCTTTTAAATTCTGTGTCAGAAAGTTCCATCAGGCTTTCTGGCTTCAGGAAATCCATTGATACTGTGTCACCTTTTGGGGGTACATCTTGCTTTGTATTTATGTAGTGTGTGAGATAGCTTGCTTTCTTCGAGACGTTGATATGTTCTTGATCTGAAGACAATGCTCTAGAAATTAGTTGGGTGGTTACACCACTTGTGTTTTTCTCTGAACTTCTGACTCTAGGGAAAGTTCCGTTCAGGGCCTGTGAGAGCAGCCTCTTGTAGATAAGTCAAATCAAGGTGCTCCGGATTAAAGGCAAGTTGATTGACTGGATGTGTAGGCACAGGTGTGGAGCCGAATGGGGGATGGGGCAGGCACAGGGTGGTGGGGGTGACCACAGGGGCGGGTCAGCCATTTATGGGACCTCATTCAGACCTCAGCTGTCTGGGTGTGTTCATGAGCGGGGTCCCTACTCAAATTCCAGCTCTTCGTCTCCCACCCAGCGGCTCTCACTCAGCAGTCTCTGCCCAGCGGCCCTTACCTTGTGCAGTGCCCCTGCCCCAGCAGGGCCCAGGGTCCAGCAGGACCCAAGAAGACTCAGTCAAATTCCCTCTAACACGCTCGCCTCTGGTCAGTCTGCTGTGTCCAGAAAAGTTCCATCAAATTCCCACCAGCCCGCTTATTCTTGGGCCCTCTCCTAGGCAGTCGACATTGCCCCAGAAAACTCAGATAAATTCCCACTGTGCCTGCTCATTACTGGGCAGTCAGTGGAACCCGAGAGTACTCAACCAAATTCCCACCAGTGGGCTCACTCTTGGGTGCTCTCCCAGGCAGTTGGTGGTGCCCGAGAAAACCCAGTCAGATTCCTACTGGCCTGCCAGATTGTGGGCAGTCAGCAGGGGCACAAGAAAACTCAGTCACATTCCAACAGACCTACTCGTTCTTAGTGGAGCTTAAGAGAACTCATTCAATTTCATATAGGTCCCACAGCAGCTAGGCTGGCAGGTTCTGGCTTTTGCCCGACCTGTGGCATGGCTCTATGTTCCTGTAGCTCCAAAACTAATACTTCTAACAAAAGTTCTGAATCAAATCTCTACTGTACATGTTGCACCGTGTCAGTCAGTCTCTGTGCAACATGAAGGTCTCTCTTGTGGCCTGTCTCTATTCAGCTTGCTGTTCCTCCAGCTCTTCACACTCCTCTTCTCCACTGCTGCCATTTTGGAATCCCCATGTATAGTGTTTTGAATAATGCCTGGTATATAGTTAGTATTATATAAAATAAAATATTAGTCATCACTGCCACAAATACCAATATTTCTTGCCTTCATAGTGCTTTAGCCTGCTTGCTTTGTGTACTCTTTTAAACTTCTCTAATCTTGGAAAACAGGTAGCCAAACTTGTTAGAAGTAAATCTAAAAGGGAAGTTGAGAAGAAAAAGGTTATGTGTGAAACCTTGTCTTTCCCATCAGAAAAACAAAATGCATGAATACTGTGCATTACTTTGGTAATACATATTAGCTGCAGAGACCTTGTTAAAAAAAACAACAAAAACAGAATTTTTAACAAGCCATTTTTATAAATGAATCTTGAATAACAAGGGGGAAAAAGAAAATTTATCTAAATAAAAGACAAAATTATCTTAATAAACAAGAGTTGTTTTTCAGGGAGAAAGACCTTGAAGAAGCTTTGGAAGCTGGAGGTTGTGATCTTGAAACTTTGAGAAATATAATTCAAGGGAGAACACTACCTGCTGACCTGAGGGCCAAAGTTTGGAAGGTAACTACAACCTAAGATAGAGATGATCACTTAAGAAGTAAAAAGAACCTATTATTTCAAACCGTCATAATTTCAGAAGACTTAATTGTCTTATCCATATCTGAAAAATTTGTCAAACATTTTACCAAAAAAAGGT